ACAAGGTTGTCTGAAGTGCTTCATAGGAGAGGCTGTGATTTGCATATTTATATGTAAAGCAAAACTGAACCTCAGAATCTTAAATACCATAAAAGAATATCCTTAAACAGGCTTTATTGTGATGATTTCTGTATCGTATATTGGAAAACACCTTTTGTAAAATGAAAAGAGTAATTTCACATTTTACTTTTCTTCATCAATACAAACTTTAAGGTTCATAAGAAAACTGCATTGGCATAATCTGAAGGGAGTCCTGGTGCGCTTACAGAACAGTGCTCTCAGCAGTAGTTTTAAGTCATGTAGTCCTTGAGATTATTTTTAAAGACAGAAATGTCTTGCAAGAAACATAATTAAAAAAAATAGTAAGATGCTCCCTCTCCTCTTCATTTTGATACAATATACAGTATTTGCTACCTCAGAAATGGCAGGGGATTTCAGAATATTTCTTGTCTAGTAGGTGCCCAATATAAAGCAAAGAAAAAGTCCACCCTTCTATTCACACAAGAGACGACATTTGAAACGTGGCAATTTCTGTGCCAGCACTGTCCTTAAACTTTTTTTTTGATAATTACGGCCTTTAATGTAGAGTAATTATCCGACCTTTCATGCTTCAGTGCTTGACTAAGAGCATTCAAGCTTACAGTATTTTAAACACTTGCAGACATATGCCAATGTTAAGCATGCACTTTAAAATTAAAATGTGATTTCAAGAAAAACTTTTTTTAAAGTTTAAAAATCAATTTGCATTTGTATCGCTCTGCCACTACAGGCCAACCAAAAGTTAAAAAAAAAATTTGGGGGGGTTAAAAAAAGTTTTGAAAATTGGCCTATTGTAAGATACAGTGTGCCTTGCAGAAGTTTTGCAAAGTATCTTTGGTTTTCCATTTAATAGTAATAAAATTACTTATATTTAGAATAGTAGAAATTATATTTAAAAATTATCAAGCTGATTATATTTTAATTCTTATTTAAACATGATAAAATTGTTATAATTATAAAAATTTCTTATTCAGCCCCTGAATCTCCAACTGAAGATTTCCAAGGGATAAACTTGTCTTTGTCCTTCTGAAAGTTGAATCTTTGTCCCTTTTAGGTCTGAAGTAGGTTTTCCTCTATGATGGCTATACAAGCAAAATTGGTTCCAAATTTTCTGCCTGTAGGCAATTAATTGTAAAAATGACACTAAATTCTCATTAAAATACACATAAATATCTCTGGTTCGATCCATGTGCTCATAATGGGACATAAACAAGTTGAGTTTTAGTATTTTTGTGATGCAATTCTAATACTTTGGCACCATAAACTGCTTAGAATATGTTACAAGTAGAATTTACCAACATGCCAGTGGAGAAATGATATAAAATTTGCATAATCTCTACAGTACAATAAAACAGTAAACAATAAACATGAACAATAAAAAAGACATGAATTAATCAAAATTTCTGACTAAACAAAAAATATTACCTTAGTTAATAAATGATGTGCAAAGACAGAAAGCTAACTGTAAAAGTAATATAGGGCATCAGACTGTCTGGATACGTTGATATTGTGCATACATAGTGCATCAAAATAAAACATTTAATTGTATATTATATGTGAAACAATATTATTTTTATTAATTAGATATTAATTATTCTACACCATTAATAGTATAATATACTTACAGTTTCTGTTAAGATAGTTAAGACGACAACATCTGAGAGGAACAAAAAATAAAACTAGAAGAAACGCTTGGAGCTCATATTAGCGGAGGAAGTTAACTTTGTAGAACATACTGTAGAATAGTTAATAATAATAATAATAATAATAATAATAATAATAATTATAATAATTGCTTACAGTTATATAGTGCTTTTCTGGACACTCCACTCAAAGCGCTTTGTAGGTAATGGGTACTCCCCTCCACCACCACCAATGTGAAGCCCCACCTGGGCGACGTGATGGCAGCCATAGTGCACCAGAATGCTCACCACACATCAGCTATCAGTGGAGCGGAGAGCAGAGTAATGAAACCAATTCATAGATGGTTATGTACATGTATCGCTCGTTTTAAAGAGTACTCGTAAGTAAAGTGCTTATTTAATGAGGGATGAGTGTACTCGTCTATGTTGACGTCAATGTTGACGAGCTTCCCTGTCCCTGCTGATAAGAAACATAACCAAGCCACCTCCATGCTTGACAGTAAGGATGGTGTTGACTGAGTGATGTACAGTACTGTGTTGGGTTTGCAGCAGAGGTAACACTTTGCAGTTAAAGCAAAATGCTGCAATTTTGCCACATCTGCAGTGTCACTTAAATAACCTTTTCCAAACTTCATCCAGTATTTAAGATGTATTTTTTCAGTAATGGCTTCCTTCCTGCCACTCTGCTATGCAGGCCTGCTTTGAATCATACACATTTTCTCCCACTTCGGCCCTTGAAAGTTTGTCTTGCCTGACCACACAGTCATTTTTCACTTATTTGCAGTATCACTTCAATGTTTATTGCAAACCCTGTGGAATTTGAGAGGGTTTTTTTTACAGGCCAGCTTTATGCAGTGATTTGAATATTGCTGACTCATGGACATTTTCTCCCATTTCAGCCATTTAACTCTGTATTCTGTAGTCACCATTGGCCCATTATTGCCATTAATCCATAACCAGTTTCTTCCTTGCCCGGCTGTTCAGTTAGGAGTGACGGACAGATCTTGGCAGTTTCTGAGTGGTATGATACTCATTCCACGTCTTAATGATTACATTCATAGTGTTCAAAAAGATATTCTGTTTTTTTTTTAGACCTTTCTCCTGATCTGTGTTTTTCTGCAGCCTAATCTCTGATTTGTTTTTAAAGGTCCTTCTTCTTTATGAGCAAGGTTGAATTCTTGCTTGAAATCCATTACCTGACTAAGGAACCTTGCAGAGACCAGTGTATATATTGTGAAAAAATATGAGCACCTACAGTATTATTGCCCTTGAGGCCATTCTACTAATTGTGTGGTTTGTTAAGGCAATTCTGTGCTCTTAAATTAATGTAGATTTGCCACAGCAATGTGTTTGAATACTTATATAATCATGACCTTTCCATTTTTCTTTCATATTAATTATCGTTTTCTTTTTTTTACTTTGAATGTGTGGTCTAGGTTGTATATATAACAAATATTAATTGCCACTTCGAAGCATCTAGTGCTACTAGCTTTAAAAGGAACAAAATGTGAAAACTGCAAGTGTCTGAAACATTTGAAAGGCACTGTACAATTTCCTTGGCATTATCCCTCTGCTTCATTTCTAATCTTATAACGTAGCTAAATGAAATTAAATACAGTATGAGATTTTGGTTTTGTGAGCATAATGTCTGAATTCTATAAAATGTTGGGCTTTATATTTGGAGTCATACTACTGCAATTCTCAAATAGGTTCAAAACCTGTAATATCTATTATTTCAGAACACCCCTGATGCAAGAGTGGCCATCATAGGTATCTAATAAAATGGTTTGTATCTGGGTATCGTCAAAATTGTTTCAAAAATGTAAAGATTCTTCAGTTTTGATCTGTGGTAACTGTGTAAGTAATTGGCTGAAATCTGAAAACCACTACCTGTTTAAGTGGTTAAATGGGTACATTAAGTGTACTAAAAAAATGCATATACATTGAAAACCATTTATTTGCCATTTATTCATGCAAAATATGAAAAGACATAACATCTCTGAATCTCTCAGATGTCAAAATCATTACCATAAATAAAATATTGTGGTCTAAACCTGAGACCTTGGTAATACAAGGGAATGCACCCTAGTACACTAGCAGACAGTCTGACTTATTCTCTCATTCTCAGAAATTGAACAAATAAGTCCTTTGTGCAAAACAGTTGTACAAGTTATAAATCCAACCTTTTAAATAATAGTAAATGTATTGGACACTCGCTACCTGCTGCCTCTGTATGTCTGCAATTATGCACTCCATCCTGATTAAGAACTGATTTACAATGAATTAAAGCACTAAAATTTAACTGCAGACATCGGTGTTCCTGGGAATTGCAGGATGTCAAATACCATCACTGGCCCTCTAGGGTCACACGGTCTTCTGTTTATCATTCCCACTGAGCTCTTTGTATAATGAATTATAAGCAATTTCGTGTTAAACTGAACAGATTCAGCATTGTTCTCAGGTGTTAAAGAGGTGGTGATGTTTAGAGATTCACTATAGCCTTCCAGGACTAGGGCATTCTACCAAGACAGTGAATATTTTTCTTAGTATTCGTCTGTATTCTAGCACTATGGTCTGTGTTTTAGTAACTATTTGGACACCAGAAAGCAGAGATTCAATTACAGATCTTTATCATTATACATTAAAAAGATGCTATATCTAGCTTTGTTGGTAGAAATTACAGTCCTACTTGAAATATCTTTGAGATTTTTTCCTTTCACAGTCCTTTCATACGAACCTGTGTACTTATTTCATAGTGGCACTCCAGGTGGTTCTCTTGACCCCTAGTTGCTGGTATAGTTGTACATTTCAGGTGGGTAGCTGCGTCAGCATGCGTAGGCTGCAAAGGAACAAGTAATAGGTTTATTCCATGCTGAAAAAAAGAAGAAAGAGAACACAACGTTTCGGCCGTGGAGTCTTCTTCAGGTGTACATTTTTTCAAGACAAATTTGCCTTCATTTTGTCTTCCATCCATCTACAGTATCCATCCATCTTCAGTCCACTTGTCTTGGTCAGGACTGTGGCAAAAGCATATCAAATAGGGAAAACCACATCTGTTTTCATCCACAAGACATTCTAGACACTCAAAAGCTAGAGTCTCTCCAGCATGTCTTAAGATGGCCTTGAGATCTTCACCCAGTGTGGTTGGTATGGTACAGTCCATCGCTGAGCACACACTCGCACCAGAACCTTTTTTGGGCTGTGGGAGGAAATCCTTGTGAACACAAGGAGAGCATATAACGCATCTGCTTCATGATGAGCAAGTTTTATGTGGTACATCATGAAAGGTTTAATGTTTCTCCTTATTTACCATTCCAGCTGGCTTAAACTGAGACCGGGAAAATCCAACAGCTGATGCGGCAGGGACCTGTCTGCACTGCTGACCATGGGCTGCTTTTCTTCTGACTCCTCCTGTAAACTGAATGTACTTTTCCAAGGCGAACTTTTGTAACATGTACCACTGTTGGGCTGCTGCTTCTTAATGGTGCTAGAGAAAAGCACTTTTCCCAGAGACAAAAACAAAACACATCAAAAACAATACTCTCTGTGCCCTTTTTAAGAATGTACAATATAATGTCATGTTATGTTTGATGTACTTACACCATGGTTTTGACATTAATTGGGATTACTTTTGCCTTTTTCGTTAAAAAAATTGAGCTTTATAAATATTGTCTAGAGTTGTTTCCAGAGGGATTCCTAATGAACTCTTGACATCTTACAAAATCTTGTATATTTTTCAGTGTGCCAATTTGTAACATATTTTGTAAGTGTATATTTTTCTTAGAAAGTGCTGTGAAGTATTTGTGAGTGTGCGTGTGGGAACCCTTTTTTGAGCCTCAAAGGGCCAGTAAAAGGATGTATAATGACAAGTTTCTGGTTTTAAAAACCAAAATACAAACGACAAAAAAAAAAATCAATACAATTTTTGTTGGAAGTTTTGTAATAAGACCGATCTTGTGAGAGTGTAGTGCTATCGTGTAATAAAAAAAAGAAAAAGAATGGAAAAAAAAACAAATTTGTGAACTCTTTGCTGTTTTATAGATTTTCATGTAAATTATTCTAGTATTATTTTGTTTTTGTTGTAATCGTTGCAAAGGTTTTAAATATTTGTGATCAAGCCTGTATGGTGATAATGTAATATTGGTAACTTGCTGAGTTTTGTAATAATGTTTATGGAATAAATATAAAAATAAAAATGAGCTTTTGAACGCTGCCTTCAGAATGGTGTAAGATTTTATTGTGATTTGTTTTGAAGGGTCAAATAAATTGAAATGTTACACTCTGCTCACATTTTGGGAATCAAAAGTATTTTACAGTTTTATGGAGTTTATTTTTTTATGCTGTAAGTTTAGCAACAATTGTTTCTACTTAGTAAGGATAGTGTAGAATTATTTTTCGTTGCCCTTTTGCTTTTTGCAATCAGCAATCAATTTAATGATTCAGCATATATTCTTTAAGTGTTTGATATGGTGTTATTTAAAGCTTTTCATTTTTATCTTAAGTTAGTTTTGTTTTCTTCAATCTCCCAGTTGTTTTTCTGTCTTAATATTTTAGTCTCCATGTCCTACTAACAAGTTCAGGCCAATTCATACGCCTACTATGGTTATCTATAACTTTGTGGTCGGTTTTCATATGCTTTCATTTCCTTCATTTTTCTTATTTATTTCAATATTTGCATCTCTTGTGCCTTAGAAGTTTTATACATTTCTGACATTGACACAATTGATGTCATATCTGTTCACCAGCTGTTTCTAATTATGCTGCTTTTGATTTTAATTTGGTTTATAAGGTTCCTAATTAGTCTGAATAGTACATTGTGTACGCAATTGTGTCATAGAAGGAGTGTATATTGGTCCAAGTTTTTTTTAAACGTTCCTACCCACTATAGCCCTATAGTGCTGGCCTTTCCTCTACCCTGCTTCCAGGAGGAAACTACATTTCCAGGTCGGCAAAGGAGGTGTAATAAATATCTAATTATGATATAAATTTTACCTCCCAATATAATTAGGTGTGGCAAGCACAGGTTGTGGCCTTTTGTACCTGCACCTGTGGAATCCTGAAGTCTTGCTTGCTGTACTGCTGCACTTCTGGGTTCAGTGTGCATTCAGAAGAACACTGCTGGGTTGATATGCAGTGCCTTTGAGGATTTATTGCAGTGGACTAATTGTAACACTCTCACTTCCCCTCCTTAAAGAAGCTGAATCAAGACACGGAGATTTCTTATATTATTTTTATCCATCCATCCATTTAATAACTGCTTCTTCCAATTCAGGGGTGCAGGGGAGCAAGAGCCTATCTCAGCAAGCAAAGGGTTCGAGGCAGGATACACTCTACACAGGATGCCAGCCTATTGCAGGGCAGACAGACACAAAAACACACACAGTTACACCAGGGCTAATTTTCCCAAAAGCTAATTAACCTACCATAATGTTTTGGGATAGAGATACCACAGATCTGGAATTGAACTCAGAGCCCCAGCACTAGGAGGTAGCAATGCTAACCACTGTAACACTGTGATTGCCTATTATTTTTATTATATAAAAATACCAAACTGTTTCCAAATATTATATTTTACCATTTAAATTACACATTAAAATAGCAGGTCATTGGTCCTCTGTATAGTGTGAAACAATTGGAAATGCAGCTGAGTCTCCAAAAGATGTCAAAGAGGAAGAAACTCTTGCTCTTTTGGTTTCTAGCACTGTATTGATCCAAGAACCTCATCAAGCTGCCTTTAGAAGGATTTCGGTGATTCAGTGTCCACAGGGCGGCAAGGCACTTTCTTCCAAACGCCTTCATTTCTGTTTCTTAAGAAGTTTTGTTCTGTGCCCTCAAGACGTGTCCAGTTTCATTTGTGTTCTCTCCTGCTTGAGATTAAAAATAATTGTTTGGGAGAAATGTGCCCATTTTTTTTTAAGTTTAAGTTTCCTGTTTGTTATCATTGGCACCTGCCTTAAATTTAAAAGCTTTTGTGTGTGTGTGGATTCCATGTGGATTCTTTATCCCTTTCCTCCACAGACAGACATGCTTTACATTTGCAATGCACTGCTGAGTAGAAGGCCATCCCTGCTGACTTCACTCAGCCAGAGGCTGAAGGTACTGAATCCTGTTAGCACCATAGCTGAGTGACTTATGGATCGCCACAATTCTTAACTTTAGGACTAATCCTCTCTGGGTAGGAGCTGTTTACTGGATGAGCCACTTAGGAGCCCCAGAATCCTTTACAATTGAAAAAGAGTTTGCAAAATCAGATTTTCAGTACACAGTGATAGAGGTTTGCCATATGTTATGCAATCTTAGAGTGCAGGGCCATGATTCGTGACACTAAAGAGAAATTGTACAAGGCAGCAGGTCATCTTTAACCTAGGGCGGTACACGTTTTAAAGACAATTCCAAATAATTCTCCCTTAAAGCAAGTTTTTATCCAGTAGATATCACTTAAAGAAGGAACAATGCATAGTGAAAAAAAACATTCCTGGCCTTTTCTTTCATTTTAAATTGAATTACATTTAAATTAGTTGTCCTTCATCATTTCAACTGATTGTTAGTGTGATAGTTATCCAACACAGCGTAGAAATGTTTTGAAAATAGACATTTCATTCTTGCAGTGGCACAGTGACAAACAAATGCACAGAGAAAAAAAAATCTATGCATGTCTTCCCATGATTCATGGCACCATTCTTTTCTGTCTGAATCTGTTTTTGACATATGCTAGTTACTCAATTGCTTTCCTGAGTGGATCTTTATCACTTTTACTTGTCTTACAAAGTCTTTCACTTTACTTACCAAGTAAACTATTTCTATCTCAATAATACAGCAAGACTATAACGGAAAATTACAAAGAATTTCCTTGAGGACTGTAAAAAGAAGGCACAGAGTTTAAAACAAATTATGGAGCCATGTCATTGATTGACATCCTGTGAACATTTAAGAAAATGCTGTATTATAAAAAACCTGTCCTCCACACAAGCAATCACATTAACCAGATTTCAAGATCATGTTCGTAATGTTTCTTAGGTTAAGTGCATCCAGTGTAAAGGCTGCCTAGACAGCTCAAGTAAGCAGGGGAAATGGTTCCTGCCAACAGGGATCACTAAAAGAAGCTACAGTATAATGCAGAGTTTGCAAACAAAGTCCAGAAACAAGCCAAATTCAATAACCAGGAAGGCACAAAAGGACACAAAGAGTAACCAGGGAAATAACTTAAAAAGAAGAACCAGAAAAAGAACAAGGACTGAAACAGAACAGGAAAAGGAAGTAAGATAAGAAGCAGGGTACTTCAGCAAGTACAGCAAGCAAAAAAAAAAAAAAAAAAACAGATAAGTAAAGGTCCAGAGCTCAAACTAGAGGTATACAATGCTGAGCATCAGAAGAAATAAGATCAGAGTTTATATGGAGCTGAGAAGGGGAGGAGAGGAGTCCTGTGTACACTAGTCAGTCAGTGATTGGCTACAGCCATCTGCATAGTCTGCGCCTCTGCTGCGTAGCCGAGCCAGGAACCAGTACTTGAGGTGCCCTCTGGTGGTGAGCATATGTAACTGTAACGCCCAGCAGAGCTCTTCAGAACAAACAGCAAGAAACAAAGCAGAGGACACAAGTGGAAACTACAAGCAAGTGCATTTAAAACCGGGAGGAGGAAGCACCTTTTATGTAAATTATTGAAGGAGTCTGGAAAAAGCTACCCAGCCGGCCGTGTTATTGAAAGTGATAAATTAGCTTCTTTCAAGAAAGAAATGAGATGCTCAGCTCAATTAGCTACTAGCAACCCAATGAACTAGATGGGCCACATTTTCTCCTAGTTTGTAATGTTTCTTATTTTTTATTACCTTCTCTCAGCACACGTCATTACACTCCAGTGGCGTATTTTGTTATTCCACCACAACCCTTTTCCAATTGATCTGAATACAAACTGATCTCCAAAAACTCCTCAAATAAGGAACAACTTTGCAACTTCAAGTTCAAGTTCAAGTCCATTGTCATTACACTCATATACATGGTATGTGGCATAACGAAATGCTATTTAGCTAGCTCTCGGGCATAAGTAGTACAAAGAGAAAAAAAAATCCAACAACAACAATACAATTGTGTAACAAAAGAAAGACAGAGACAACAGGCAGTGTGCAAAAAAACAACAACAGACGATGTGCAAAAAAAAACAACAACAGGCAATGTGCAAAAAAAACAACAACAGGCAATGTGCAAAACAACAAAAAGGTAACAGGTTATGTGCAAAAATATGCATCAACAGAATAAAATAAAGGGATAGAAATTATGGGGAGTGAGCTTTTGACATGTATGGTAGAGGTAGATTTTCAATGTGTGTTTGGGTTTTTGGTAAGAAAGAAAGGAAGAAGGGCACTGTGAGGTTCAGATCATAGGTGAGAGGTGAGGTGAGAGTGAGAGAGGCTGGGAGTTTAACAGTTTGATAGTGCGGGGGTAAGAACTGTCTCTGAGTCTGGTAGTCTGGGCCCGAATGCTCCGGTACCCTTTTCCAGATGGTAGCAGATCATAAAGTCTGTAGCTGGGGTGTGTGGGGTCTTTGATAATGCTTAGAGCTTTCCTCAAGCACCGTCTGTCATAAATGTCCTGGATAGATGGGAGGGCAACCCCAGTGATGGACTGGGCAGTTTTCACCACCCGCTGAAGGGCTTTGCAGTCAGCAGCACTGCAGTTGCCATACCACGCTGTGATGCAGCCTGTCAGTGTGCGTTCTGTAGTGCATCTGTAAAAGTTAGTGAGGATCTGGGGACATGCAGTATCTTAACCTTCTTCAACCATCTTAGGAAGTACAGGCGCTGTTGCACTTTCTTGATCAGACAGGAGGCGTTGAGAGACCATGTGAGGTCCTCGGTGATATGGACACCAAGGAATTTAAAGGTACTGACCCTTTCCACTTCAGTCCCGTTGATGTGGATAGGGGCATGTCCGGTTTGCAGTTTCCTGAAATCAATGATCAGCTCCTTGGCTGAGGGTAAGGTTGTTGTCATCACACCACGTTGTAAGGAGATTGACCTCCTCCCTGTAGGCCCTCTCATCATTGTCTGTGATCAGACATACAACTGTGGTGTCATCGGCAAACTTGATGATTTCCCTGCAAGTATTTCTTAAAATCATATTAAAAGATGTTCTGTATCACTTTGAAAATACTGTGAATTACAGCTGCTGCAAAAGTAAAGCACCAGTTTCAGTTCATGAAGGGTCAATGGCATCTTT